TATCTCTTCCCACCCCCTACCCTCCCCCACCCACAGTAACCATAAGATTGTTTTCTATGTCTTTGAGTCTCTTTCTGTTTTGTAAATAAGTTAATTTGTCTTTTTCTTTAGATTCCACATGTAAGTGATATCATATGGCATTTTTCTTTCTCTTTCTGGCTTACTTCACTTAGAATGACGATGTCCAGGTCCATCCATGTTGATGCAAATGGCATTATTTTATTCTTTTTTATGGCCAAGTAGTATTCCATTATATAAATATATCACAACTTCTTTATCCAGTCATCTGTTTATGGACATTTAGTTTGTTTCCATGTCTTGACTATTGAATACAGTGCTCTATGAACATTGTGGTGCATGTATCTTTTCAAATTAGAGTTTCCTCTGGATATATGCCCCGGAGTGGGCCTGCTGACCCATAGGATACATTTATTTTTAGTTTTTTGAGGAATCTCCATCTTATTTTCCATGATGGCTGCTCTGAACTGCATTCCCACCAGCAGTGTAGGAGGGCTCCCTTTTCTCCACACCCTCTTCAGCATTTATTATTTGTAGAGTTTTTGGTGATGGCCATTCTGACTGGTGTGAGGTGATACCTCATTATAGTTTTGATTTGCATTTCTCTGATAATTAGCGATGTTGAGCATTTTTTCATATGCCTATTGGCCATTTGTATGTCTTCATTGGAGAATTGCTTGTTTAGGTCTTCTGCCCATTTTTGGATTGAGTTGTTTGTTTTTTTCTTATTAAGTTGTATGAGCTGTTCTGGAAGTCAAGCCCTTGTCAGTCTCATCTTTTGAAAATATTTTCTATTCTGTAAGTTGTCTTTTTGTTTAGCTTATGTTTCTTTTGCTGTGCAAAAGCTTATAAATTTAATTAGATGCCATTTATTTATTTTTGGTTTTATTTCTATTGCCTTAGGAGAATGTTGCTAAGATTTATGTCAGAGAATGTTTTTCCTATGTTTTCTTCTAGGAGGTTTATAGTGCTTTGTCTTATGCTTAAGCCTTTAAGCCATTTTAAGTTTATTTTTGTGTATGGTGTGAGGGAATGTTCTAACTTCATTGATTTACATTTAGCTGTCCAGTTTTCCCAACAGCATTTGTTGAAGAGACTGTCTTTACTCCATTGTATATTCTTGCTTCCTTTATCACAGATTAATTGACCAAAAGTCTGTGGGTTTATTTCTGAGCTCTCTGTTCTGATCCACTGATCCATATGCCTGTTTTTGTACCATTACCATGCTGTTTTGATTACTGTATCTCTGTAGTATTGTCTAAAGCCTAAGAGGATTATTCCTCCAACTTTATTCTTTTCCTTCAGTATTGCTTTGGCAGTTCTGAGTCTTTTGTGATTCTGAGGCGGGCTTTTTCTAGTTCACCCCCCAAGAATATTACTCTTTGAGCTTTTATGATGGAGGATATCCACATCTGATCCCTCAGACAAACATTGCCACTGGCTCTAGGGATTTCTAACCCCTGTAACTGCACTTTCTTTTTATTCATTTTTTTGTGATTTTTTTTTTCCTTTTACCACCTCATATATTTAAAAATATTTTATCCAAAATTTTCAGTTAAGCTACTTTGGTTCATAAAAGCCTAAGTTATCATATTCTGAGCTTGCTTTTGTGCTCAGTTAATCTTTTGAGGGAAATTGCCATTTAATATTGAGATCTTTCGTTTTCAATAAATATTTATTGAGTGGCTACTATGCACATATATGAGTGAAGAAAAGATAAAGATTCTTGATGGAGCTTGCATTCTAGTCCCTAGAGGATATAATACACAGTAAGCACAAGAAATAAATCAGTAAATTATAGTATGTTAGTTGGTAACAAAACTATGGGGCAAAAAGCGGAGTGGGATAAGGGAATTGGGAAAAACAGATTAAACTGTAGGATAAAATAGACTGGAAATGGTAGATTTCATTGAGAGGGCAAAATTTGACCTAATATTTGAATCTGGTGACAGAGTTGAGGTAAGGGTATGGCTTTCTCGGCTCTCAGGCTGGGCATCAAATCTCCATAATCCCATCTGCCTTGACCTATAAATGGCTCCAAGCCCTAGCATTTGTCCTGTCTTGGAGAGTGGAGGGGAAGATGGGGGAACGTGGGGGAGGAGAGAAAACGTGGGGGAACCCTGACACCAACCTTCTTCATCTGCCCTATTTTGCAGGGAGTAATCAGTCATACTCTCTATGTTCTTTCAAATGATTCCATAAATGTGTTATTTTGGTAAACTATTTTCTTAAAATAGTTTCTGAGTCATGTTGAAAATTTAAATTTCTACCACCCATATTTTTCGGTCTTCCTCTATCAATAATTAATATAACTGTTTTTCCAAGTTTTATTTTTGTGAGCTTAGAGAAGTGTCCACTTATTTTTTAATTTCTCATGTGAAGTGGCAAGTACTTAATATGCAGAAGGGTATTTTACATATAGTACTCATTTGTTAGAAGAATGACCTATTTTAATATGCCATGAATTCAGAAGGAAATTAGATAATGAATCAATTGGAAATTAGATAATTAATCAATGATCATTTTCTCTGACATGCATTTCTATTCAGGATTTGCTTCTGCTTAGCCATACATGCTATTTATCTGCATATAAATATATATTTTTAAATAATAAAGAAGTAGCATTTAATATGGGCTAAAGTTTCTTTAGTATGAACCTTTCCAGAAATATTCAGCAAATGTAAAGTCTTTTCTAACCAGTATCTTTCTTAACATTAAAAAAGCAAACTGAGTATATTTATAAGGTAAACGTGTCCAAAAATACTTCCCCAAATTGAAGGTAAAGTTCCAAATAGCATTCATTAGCACTATTCTTTTATGTTGTTCTTTTACGAGTAGTCTAGTTTTACAGGGAGAACGGGTATCCATGTAGGTAATGCATGTCCTGCGTGAAGCTGCATCAGTCTTCCCGATAACGCAGGTACGCTTCTACTCCAGAGCTGCGTTTCGCTCTGCTAGGCTAATGGGCTTGACTTCATCTCAGTTAAGAAGATGTCCTTTAACAATCTTTCTAATCACTAGTTTCCATTTAAACTGAGACCTTAACCGTCCCAGTGCTGATGCTAATGGCCAATTGGGAATTATCCTTCTTTATCATGACTCCTTCTAACTGATCCGAGAATTGATATAAAATAGTTTTATTAGGTTTGTGACTATTTTCTGGCATATGATAAACAGCAGAAAGAAAAAAACAATAACAATACCTGCTATTCACTGTGCATCAATCTTTCTGGTGTTCTTCTCCTTATTTACCTTGAAGACAAAATCAAGTTTGTCCTTTTCATATTGGTCCAATGCTTTCAGGTTTTAGAGTAGGAATCTGAGTTTTGACAAGGCTCTTTAAAACCTAATTTTTAAATACAAATCAACCATTTATTTCCTAAATATTAATGAATAAAATTTCATCTACATAGTCCGTGACTAAATTTTTTCATTTAAGATTGTGTTATAAACCTTTGACTCTTTCTGTGGTGTTTGTCGTTTTTTATGTAACCCACAAGGAAAGGGTATAGAGATGATGATATTTATCTCAGCATCACTGATATACGTTCTTTGTAATGGCAAGCAGGATCAGAGGCTGCATGAGTGAAATTTTAAAAAAAATAACACTAGAGAGGTGTAAAGTTTTTTTTTTAAGGCAATGGGAGTGATTAATTTTCTAGTCAAAAATAATATTTAAAATTTCTTATTGAACTATGATGAGACACATTTTTTTTTGTAATGTCATTAAATTCACCCTACTTACCTGGATGAAAATTATCTTCATTAAAATAAACATTTTTTAAGATTAGTATAAAGGCCATAGACAATTACTCTGGCAGCAAATGTCCCTTCTAAGGGGTGAGATTGCCTCATAGGCTTTGCTGCAGTGGTTCCACTTTTCCATTCTTGCCTTGCCTTTATTTTTTTCATACTTAGCTTGGTTTTTTTAGGGGGGGGGTAATTAGGTTTATTTATTTATTTATTTATTTATTTATTTATTTATTTATTTAATGGACGTACTGGGGATTGAACTCAAGACCTTGTGCATGTTAGGCATACACTCTACCACTGAGCTATACCCTCCCCCCTTATCTTGCCTTTAATACAAATTGCCATGATCCTTATTCTCTTTAATGTTATGTACGCTTCTCTATGAGCTATCTAAGGTTTAGAGGAGATTTCCAGCAGTGCATCTCTGCAGGCTAAGAATAATGGGTTTCTTTGCTATCTAAGTGCATCCTTTTCTTTAGCTGTAACAATTGCCAGAAGCCCCTATGTCTTCCTTTATGTCCTATTGATTGACTGAAAGAAGTAAAATCAGTCTCTACTATCATAGAACCTTTTCAAAGAGTGCTCTTTGCTTTGAAGAGTAGAATCTATGAAATGCATTTTCCAAGCCTATATACAATTTATAGATAATTCTACATATATTATAACAATAGTTGAAAATAACTTTATAGTATCACTGTTTGACTGTGAGAAACATGATGTTAGGACAGTAGAAGAGTCACCATAAATTTTTATTTTAGCAAAATAAATGATTAATGACAAATAACCTTTTAATGTTTTTATTGTAACTGAGTTCTGAAGATCTGAAGGTTAGGTATTCAGGGATTTTTTTTTGAACCAGTTGTTAAAACCATTAGCAGTTTGAAACTAACCATGGTAGAAATATCTTCACTGTAAAAATCAGCAAATTCTATGATTTGGGGCTTGCCCCACACTCCTCTTTATCTCTCTAGAACCAGACAGATTACTAGCTCACCATTGATTTTACTGCCAAAGTCTTTATCAATGTTTACTTCTGTATTAGTTGTAGATATAAATACCAGATGTAAATTTTTATCATATTTCGAGTATTGCCTATAAAATGGCACCCACTGGGAAATTTATTATTAATAGTTGTTGAATTAAATATGTCAACTTTTATTGCCATAATACCTAAAATAATTTCTTATAGAAGAATGTGTGAAATAATGAATTATCTCTCTTGTTTTCAGTGATAGTGGAAAGTGGAAATATAATCTCCTTTGTGGCTTATATTAATTCTGGATACTGTAAGATTTATAGAAATATTGTAGGACTTTCCAAACCACAATCAAAAAAAGTGGTAAGTTTTAAACTTTTGTATTCTTTTTAATCAATTAATCTTCCCTAATGAATAGGAATTATTGAACATATTGTCATGTGCTTATTAGACAATTGTTATTTGTCTTTTTTTTGTAAAATTTCTCATCAATTTTTTTGGACTTTTTTGCTGTGTTTCTTTTCTTCTTTTTATGGGTTGTAAGATATAGGAATGTAAAATAAGTTGTTAGACATGCTAAGTTGTAAGACTTAGGAATGAGCAATAAGCATGTTAAACAGATTCTGGACATCCTTATTTAACAAAGAAATGCAAATTAAAGCCACAACAAGCTACTGCTATATGCATATCAAATTGGCTAAAATATCCTTAACACATGACCCAGAAATTCCACTCTAGATATTTACTCAAGAGAAATGAAAATATGTGTTTACAGAAAGACTTACATGAATCTTCATAAGCCAAAAACTGTACGTAATCCAAGTGCTCATTGACAGTTGAATGGATAGAAAATTTTTAGAATTGTTTTTTCAATGTAAATGTCATGCCTCAATAAAAAGAAACCATGATACATATGAGAATATGGATGAATCTCAAAGCATGAGATTGGGTAAAAAGTCAAACCAGGAGAGTGTATTCTGTGTGATTCCAGTTTTATGAAATTCAAGAATAAGCAAAACATTAATGCATAGTGACAGAAAAGTTAGAACTAGTTCATCTCGGTTGGTCAGGAGTCTTCAGTGGAATTCAATTTAATATGCCGATTTCATTGAATTCTCCTGTTATAGTCATATTCAGTGCAAAGATTCACCATTCATATCAGTGACATATCTTAGATATTGGCTTTTGACTCCAGGATACTTGGTAAAGACTTTCCCTTCTTGTGAGTTCCTGTCACCCTCCTACCCTGAGGGCTATATTCAATTATTTTTTCCAATCTTATTGCTCACCAGCTCATCCCTGTTTCAATACTGTTGAGCTCTCCCTGAGAAGATAATTATGAGTTTCAACTTGTTCTCCAGAACCATGCATACTGAAAATACTGCAGGCTATTGTCCACAAAGTTCCTAATTTGGACCTAAATTGCTGGTTTCCTGAATCAAACACACTTTCCACTTCTTTTTTTAATTTTATTTAAACAGAAATGTCAGGGTAGAATTTCACCTTTTTGCAGTTAACCTCATCAGTTCCATTCCTGGCACACTCTGTTTATTTTCCTTCTTCTCTGTTCGTCCAACAAGTGTGCCTTGCAACAGGGGCTGAGATAACAAACAGTCATTCACAAAACATAGTAAGCTAAGTTATGCTTATAAAACGGCAGCCTAGGACCTTGCAAAATGGAATGAGCTCAGTATTTCCTAAGCATCTTGGTGGATTAAAACATTAAACTTGTAGATCACTAAATGACAGTGATTTCAACTATCTTAGACATGCTGAAGTTGTCTTATCAACTTATTCTTGCCCAAATATAATTTAACTACACGTATAAGTAAATGTTTTCTCGGATTTGCATGAAACTGCTAAATTATTTTAACTACCATATACCAAAATCATTCGTGAACAGTGACTTTCTGATAGTAAACATATCTATCCATCTAATGCAAGGGGTTTCATTAAACAGCAATGATCTGTATCTCTTACAGAAAAAAGTTCAAAAACTTGTTTATATGGGTACACTTCAGGAAAAGGAGTCCTTTGGTGAGATTAGCGTTCTTCTTCAAGTTCCTTTTACATGCACAGTGGTCACTGGGAACAACGTTGAGATGGCCATAATTGAAGATAAGGACCTCTTTGGTAAATACATAAATATCTTGTATTTAACTGTTATGTTACCAGGAGAAGGAGAATCAAAATTACCTCCATTCTTAGTCACCCCCAAAAAGTGAATTTTTAATGAAAGACAAAAAGCATGATACAAACAGAAGATTTTATTAGAGAAGTAAAAAGGTAGTAACATATAGCACACCCCCGAGAACTTGGAGGGGGCCGACCCAAGAGAGGAAAAATGGCCCTGCTTCTTTGTTTTTCCTTGTATCCTAGCTTAGGGGGCATTTTCTTGATTAATTGATTGACAGCTCACATTCCTTGTACTCAGGCATGGCCATTTCTTTTCCTCTTTGGGAAGTCTCCCCAGGCAATAGAAATAAACTTTCAATTGAAAAGATAGCAATTTCCAGTTTTGTTTACTGAGCATCCATGGATGCTCAGTAAATGCCAGGATATAATAGATCCTTCCATCTTTGTAAAGTTGTGTTTGTGACTTTAGATCACGTTGAGTGCTTGACATGCTGACTCATTTAAAATACACAAAGAATGCTGCACTGAATATCACTCTTCTACTGTTTTTACACGTTGCTTTTATAGAATGGCTATTCTACAGTTTTCAGTTCAATCATTGTTTATGTCTTATCTTGGTAATTTAATTATAAATTTCTTTAGGGCAAGGAATATGCCATTGTTCATTTTTATATCCCATAGCACCTACATCCTTCCTGGATAAGCAGTAAATACTTTTTAAAATTTGTTAATAAACCCACTGATTTTCAAACACTTTCATAAATCTGGGTTAGTTTTCTGGTTTAGGATTCCTCTTGATGGTGCTCTCAAGTGGATTTTTTTCTCTTAATATTATGACAGGTGGGAAAGAACCTATGATTTTATAAACACTGATGACACTGAAAATCAGTCAATCTAACAATAACTCTTGGTTACATGATACCTTTTTTGTCCACCAATATATGGTCTCCTTCATTCTCTTATGCACTTACATATAAATAATATATCCCATTATTAAAATTCTTAAACTATTTCATAGAAAATTTTTTAATGATTTAAGGTCAATCAATTCACATACGTTAATTTTTCATTAGGTTTCCAGAACAAATTTCTCTCTTTGTGTGAAATGGCATGCTTCCTTTTAACAGGCAGTAAAATTCATGATAATTTCCACTTTTCCTAGATTGCTAGAAAGCATAAAGTTACCTTTGCCTTTAATTGTGATAGCTTCCTTTACCAAGATAAACTCATTATTATTTCTTCCTTACCCTCCTTATTTTTTCATTTCTGCTACTTTAACCAATTTTTATTTATGATCATATATTTATCTTGGATTCTTTCTATAGATTTTAAGTTTTAAAAATACATAAATGCATCAAGTATCTGATATAGGAGTAGATAGATGAATTATTTCAACAGTAAAGAAAGGCAGGGTTTGCATATGTTCTTAATTAATGGGCTTAAACATTGGCTGGTATTTTTCTCTCAAGAAAATTGTTAGCATTGTTGGAAACTAGACTTTTCTAAAGACGATGATTGATGACCAGTACTACTTCTACTGACACAGAATTATAGAAGCATTAGTTCAATATATTTAGGTGAAGCCACCAACAACATAGGTGATATTAAAATAGATATTTGACCCTGAATACAAATAATACAATTTGAAATGCCGCCGGGTAGAATCTTGGCTTTCATACGTTATCACAAATGGAGTTCATGCTGCAGCTCTTGCTTACCTGGACATGAAGCATTCTGATAATAATTAGTTCAGTTTTAGTCCTTAACTTTCATAGTTTTGATTAATTATATGATGCCTTAATCATGAATTTATTTTCAGCAAATTTTGATAAGTCATATAAAATTTTAGGTAATATAGTATCTTCACTTAGAATATATTTTGTATGCTTCGTAATTGTAATTTTCTATAAATGGAAGGAAATTATTATGGTTTTTTGGCTAATAGAAAATTACCGAGCCATGTCAGTGTGCCTCGCTGATTTAGCAGAAGATACAATACTAATCAGTTATCAAGTTCAAACCAACTTAAAGATTGATGAAAATCTTATATTTCTTAGACATGGTTTTAGAATTAGCTCACATAAAACTTCAGGCCAAGTTTCTCTGTAAAACTTACATTTCAATATTTTTAGAAAGACTCCAAATCTATATGTACACAAATTAATTTTATAAACTTATAACTGCATTGTATTCCTGATAAGTTTGAATATTTATATTACAAAAATCTGGGTTAATTATTGGAAACTAAAATAGTTTGTATCTGATTAATTTGGTGGTACAGCTTCTGATAATTCCAAACATGCTTTCGTAGTCTAGTATTTTTACCTTCTGGCTATTTACCCGCAAGACTAATCCCCTGCACAATATTGATCCCTTACAGATAATTCATGAAAAAGGAAAACAAAATGTAGGCCATAGTGCGACCCATCAATATGTACATGATAGTTACAGCCAACATGCATTATAGCCACTGAAACACAGTGAAATGAATATTTACTCTGCACTTCATCTGTCTTGTAATGTGCCACACTGTTTCTGAAGAATATTTCTGATATAATTCTTGTCTGATTGCTAAATGTTGACTATCATTCCATTTTTTACAAAAGCATTTAACTGAGTAAAATGTGTCTTGTGAGTAATTAGATAAAATCATTTCTATTTACAGAGTTATGCACAAATAATGAGAATACTACATTTTAAAATCTGATTCCTTAACCCGAGACCCTAATAGGACAGTTTAAATAAAAGAAACTATCACTGAGGACTTTTGCTCCCATTGTCAATATTGACTTCCTCTACCACCTTCTAGACCAGTGTGCCTGCGTGGCAGAGACGGACTAGAGGCTCGTCTTCTCTCTTCTCTCTTTCTAAGCACAGAGGAAAATTAAATTCCTCAGTCTCTTTTGCTGTTAGGTCGGAGCCATGTAACTGGCTCCAGTTAACAAAGTACAGGGAAACTGTTACAGCCTGGCCATGAAAGATGTCATATTTCATGATCTCACTCACTGTCTGGAAGTGCAGTGCTCCAAGACAGCAGAACCACATGACGGTGGGAACTTGGGCCCTGGGATGGGACTGCCCATACGAATAACTCAGCCAGGAGCATCTGTATTAGACTCTGTGCAAGTGACGAACGTTTGTTGAATTAAGCAGCCAAGACTTTGGTTTGTTTGTTATAGCAACTAGAAAGCTTCTACCCTGAGTCAAACAACTGGCAAAAAGGCAAGATTTTCTGGGAATTTCTTAGAAAAGTAAAAGTTTCCAAACTAGGACATGAAATGAATGTGCTTTTCATGATCATTCTTTTATTCTTAATATTTAGAAATCTACTCAAGATGAAGTGCAAGGCACATTTAGGAATAAGAAAATATATGTGTATAAAGAAGGTGTATGTTAAGATTTAGCACAAGATTTAGAAGTATTTTTGGATATTTTTTGTCATAAGAACACCGTTTATACAAGAGATGGCAGAAACATAAATTCACCTCTTTAAAAAAAATACTGCACTTAAAAATCCCCTAGCAAAATAATTTTAAAAGCAGCTTAAAATTTAGTTACATATTTCTAGAACATAGCAAACGCCCTATACAGTTTTGGTGTCTATTAACACACAGAAAACTAAGTAGAACTTAGTAACTTACAAAGAGAAAGCAAAAAGTTAGAAAAATCAATAATCAAAATTAGCCTCAATAGATTATGTCAGATAAACATCCACCAAAATTTAATGAAAACTGATCAGGAAATATTTGCAGAGTTATCGGTAAATCTACTTGAAGATGATCACAATGGTCTTCTTTTCCAAAGGCATGAGATTCATAATAAGCAAGTCTTTATATTCAGTGTGAGCATTACACAGCTCCTCTTTTCTTAGGATGCTATAGCATAGATACTGAATTAAGGCTATTAGATTGAAATGTCAGGTTAGAAACCATCCAAAGTCTCAAAGGAAAAAAAAAATGAAATGCATTATAACATGTAAGACAAAACTTTCATTCTATAATTTATAATGTCTTAGCATGTATAAAATTCCACAAAATTGCTTGTGGCTACCATTTGTTAGGAGTTCAATGTGAACTAAAATTAGTTCTAATTCCTAAATGCTTCCCTGACTTGCTTGTAGGAAATGCATTCATAACTCTACGTCCATCTATTTTCAGCCTTGGATCTATTGGAAAGATGTTGGTAAAAGATACATAGATTTCTTGGAGGAGGAATTTGCTCTGTCTCTGTAAAATTTAATAGTTTACTATTTATTTATATGTTGGCTAAAAATTCAGGATATTATGTAAGGAAAGGACTCCTAACATAAAATATTAACACATAATATTTCTGTACCTGCCGGGGCTCCTATGCTGTATGCTGTTCTATGCAGTTGTGCTAGACTTTTCTGATAGGCTCATTCATTCTTTACAATAATGTTTATGTGTTGGTAGTTTATTGAACTTGTTAAAATAAGACAGATTTGAAAAAAATAACAGAATATTTAAAGATAAGTTAACAAATATCCAAACAAATGGCCTCTATAGAGATGTAGAATTAAGGTGCTCTGGGAATGTAGGCTTTGCTGGGACTTGAGAGCAGATTGGGTTAGAAAGTGAATAGGGAGGTGGCAGGTACTCGGCTGGTGAATCAAAGAGGTCAGATGCAAGAATCAGGAGTGCCTAACTGGAGAACAGGAATTAGGATTCCAGAGAAGATTATCTGGGCAATACAACATCAGGAAATGGGATTAAAATTGATGTGGAAAAATGGGTGAATATCTTGCAAGGGGGTTGAAAAATCAGAATAAAGCAAGAACAATAAAATAAAATTAGATAGTTTGCCAAAGTCTTTGGTGACTGAGATGTTGCCTACATCCTTTTACAGCATCCAGTTCAGAAGACAAATGCATGTAGCTTGATCAGAATGGATAGTTCAAGGGAAGATGAGGAAGGCATTTTTTTTTGCCACGTTCTATATTTGCAAATAAGCATTCAGTAAAGAATGTCCAGATTCATCCACTCATCATCCCTTTATCCACCTATCATTAGGTCAGTTAAGAAATAATTTTGAGCACCTGCATTACTGAGGCATTCTTCTGGGTGCTAGG